GGGGGGGGTTGGAAAGTTTGCGAAGGAGTTGGGTAGGATAAATATCCCCGGGAGATTGAGCTACAAAAAAAGCACAACTCAAACCCTGAGAGAATGTCACCAACACGGAAGAGTTACAGCCGTAGTACCTTCTCGCCTTTGGATACAGCTTTAGAAGGGGAACACCAGCAGCCGGTGACTATCATGAACAAAAGCAAATGCATAACTGTCCTAAACATGCAGAAATAACAAATATATAGTCCTACGGTAAAGAGGAGTGTGCCGTGCTCTAAATAGGAGGGAATCCACAAAGAGGAAGTGTCTGCCAGCCCTTTTAGACCAGTCCAAGCTGAAAAATCCTGTAGAACTGTAGCAAGGATTGTGGGCAGCTTGCGGAACTCATGCGGGAAGCTCCGCGTCAACTAGCTTCATTTATTTCAAATTACATAACTATTGATCTTAGCACATATAATTATAATTGGCATTAAATATTTTAAGCAACATGATGTTCTTTGCATGATTAGATGCGCATTAGCGCGCAATTTATGAGTGTATGTTCATATGTGTGCACACATATAAGTGTACAAATTGCATGCATTCATTTGTATATAAGTACACATTGTAGAATCATATATTTTGTTCATACCCTAGCACATATTTTGTAGAATAATATATTTTGTTCAGTGTGTACGTGCGCACGTGCGCTCACACACATGTTAAGAAAGCGTTCTTTATCAAAAAACAACAGTCTAGCCACACAACAATCAAGCCAGTGTAACAGCGTTAACAGGCATAAATGTAACTAAAATAGTGGAAATGAGAAGCTACAAACTTGTGCAGTTTCAACATTCAAGCTCAAGATGAGGCTTCCTAAGAGGAAATTTTAATTTCTAAAGGCTTTGTACTTCTGAGCAACCTAAGCAGTATGCAGGCAGCAGGCCTTCTAGTTTTACCGTTAAGTAACCCTAGTCAGTAGGCAGGCTATCAGAACCACCCAAGGACATGCCAACATTACATGAAAATATATACAACACAAATAAAAAACTGCATAGATATATAATATTTCCAAATTATGCTATGAGCCATTAAAGTGGGTTGCGACAAATAATCGGCTGCTGCAAAACTGTGCAAATCCACTTAAAAAAAAATCCTAAATTGCTCCAAGGTAGCCCAATTTGTTATCCAGTTGTAATAGCAGTTTAAGATCCTGTGTTCTGTTGGCATTCCATTAGGCACCCTGCACTTGCAGGCTTGCAGAGCTACCTTTTTAACTAAGTGCCAACCATGAACAGACCATATTAGGATTCACGAAATTTCTTATGCGAGCGCGCAACCTTAAACGGATCATATTAGGATTCACGAAAATATCTTATCCAAGCACGCCAACATGAAATCATCTAGGTATACAGATTTTAATCACTTATTTTCTATGTTTTATATTGTCCAACCAATTTTGTAGGGCAGCAGCATACCCATGCTAAACAACTAGAAACAAGAGCAGTGAATATGGTCAAATTAGAAGTATGTTATGCCAATCCAAGCAAATTAAGTAAGCTGACAATATTTAAAAATATATTATTACAATATGGTGGAAGTAGACATTTTTTAACAAATGCCCAATACATCTTCATGAATAGGACAAAAAATATTAATTACTACAGACACATACAAAAAAATATTATCAACTGTCGCTTAACTATCAATGTGTTTTGTGTTACTTCTAGTTAGCCCAAACTTTTTAAATAACGAGATAAAACAACCATAAAAAATTTCATCATCTCCCCCAAACAGAACCAAACTCAATAAGAAAGTTAATGTCTCTCTTATCCGCGTGTGCATGAAGCTATTGTGTTCAGTTTTGTCCCTCATAACACAAACTAGGGGTGTAAGCGAGTCGAGTCGAGCTCAAGCCACACTCGGCTTAAGCTTGAGTTTGATTAATTTTATCGAGTTCGAGCTCGAGCTTAAGTCAACTAGTTCGAGCCAGCATGTTTATTATAAAATAGATAAAATAATATTAATTTAAGGTAGCATTAATCTTTATAATAAAATTAAAAATAGATTGAGCAATTAAGAGAAAAAATAAGAATAAATCACTTAATATAAAATACAAAATATTATTTTTTAAAATATTTTTAATACTTTAAATATAAAGACTTCAAATTTAGCATATTTTGAACATATTTTATATTATTTTTTTTTAAACGAGCCAGCTCATGAGCTAACGAGTCGAGTCGAAGCTAGCTTGAGCTTGGCTTGTTAGCTCGTTCAGCTCAGTTCACGAGCCACTGATCGAGCTGAGCTTGAGTCAGCTTGACAAGCTAACAAACCAAGCTCGAGTCAGCTTGACGAACCCTAAACCCTAAAGGCTTGACTCACACCTCTAACACAAACCATTTTACAATACACGTTGCATTGGTGCTACAATAAATTCCATCATAGCTATATCCATATAGATAAAGAGTTAACAGATAACTATCCCCACTACCTACAAGAGGAAGTTGACTCAACTAGGATATATCAAGTTGGTTAAGCCTAAGTTGGGTTCAGAATGATTATGAGATGATTGATTTTGATAGTGAGAAGAATAATGTCTGTAAACATCAAAATAATTGCAAATATTTTGAAGCGACTTACATGAAATTTTTGATATGTTTACCTCTAAACTACAACCTCATCATATCTCCATTAATATAGAATATGTAAAAGAAGAGGGCAAAACATTTATTATAATTCTTATTATTTAGCAAGCAAAAAATAGTTTATTGATAAAAAAAATCATCCAAAAAATTTGAAGAATAAATTTATTAAAATATAATATATAATTAATTATATTTTTTTGGTGAGTGAAGATCTCTATTATACATAATAACTTACAAATATAATGAGTATTTAGAATATTATATTATAAAACTAATTTATTAACTAAACATAATTAATAATATAACCAATGAATATAAATAACTTATTATATAAATAATAAATACATTAATCATAATAATAATTTACATTAAAATAGAAATATTATACATTAATAAAAGCTCATAAATAGTAAAAGCGAAAAAAATAAAACTATTAAAACTATTATTTCGGCTCAGTTGTAATGTCTTTTTTACATTTTGTTTTTCTTATCATAAATACTATTATTTTCTTGACAGAAAAGATAAATAAAAATCAATGATTAACTAATTGATTTATGACCATGTAAATGAATTTATTTTTGTGTATATCGTTTTTACTGTGCTATTAGATTTATCTAATACTTCTACTTTATTTCCATGAATTCTTAAGTTGAATAAAATTTTATTTTGCCCAAGTATTTGCACTTATTAGCTAAGCATATAACAAAGAGATATAATTTTGTGCCAGTATCCTATTTTCTGTCAACTTTAATTCCTGATTTTTCCAGAATCATTCTGGAATCAGCAACCCTTTTTATATAAAACTGTAAATTTTATCATCTATGATAAATAATTTTTAGCATCAAGCTTTTTTAACATGTAACACACTAGGAAAAGTCGGAACCTTCAAGCAGATACTCTAAAATTTCTTTGAAACCAAACAAATATTTTTGTAAGAGATGAAACATCAGTTACTAAGAAGTCCTTCAAATATATTGCGTTCATACAGTTTCTATCAGTATTCTTAAACTGTGATTCTAATAAGTAAACATTGTAAACAAAACAATACATGGTACAACCAAAATTTAGCTCACGGACAGACAATTAGAATCTAATAGGAAATCAGAATACGGCAACATTGTTGCAATGTGTCCTGGGATATAGAGTTTCCCCGATAGCATTATATGATGAGATGCATAAAAAACCACATATGATTAAAATTTGCAGTCAATCAACTTTAATTAA